CTAACCTAAGATAACGAGAACGGCTGCACGCTGATATAATGTGTAGGACTGGTAGTAAATCGAAACAAGACCAGTCTGTGTTACTGTAGATAATACGTTACAAAGACTGGGCAATTGTCTGTCTTAACTCAGAAAGTCAGACGTTTCGATGTAGCAGGACTGCAAGTGCTATGTGAAATGCGCATGATCATTATGTGATATTTGACGACAAAAAGGCACAAACATGTTTGCTATAATTCCGACCGATAAATCAGTTGTGCACTAACACGGATATATGTTCAGGTATTTAAACGTCAGTACGACACTTTGCACAGCCATGAAGGACTTCAAGGTACATTTGAATGCATGTGTTACCAATATCAGACTCGCGTGTTGCCGTAGAAAAATTTGTCTAACAATCTTTCGGAAAGATTAAATATTTAAATTCGGTGTATTTGGAGAGAATACGTTACAACAATGGCTTTGAAAATAGGAACGTACCCGCCGTCTCTCACCCACAAGGTTCCAACGAACTCCTCTAGGTTTCTGTTTGGCTTTTCACATTCTACCCGCCAGTTTACTGTACCCAACTTTTCAGCAGTCAGGTATTCGGCGGTCTCTTTGAGACCCTAAAGAACGGTAGGGTTTCAAAAGAACCGTTGACGTATAAAGTACCTGTCGAAGTTTCAAATTCGTTTCGCCGTCCAGATTGGAGGTCTCGATGTAACACATACCCAGTGGTTCGCTTGAGGACAATAGAAGAAGATCAGCCGGTATACCATTATGGTTCACCAACTTGACGACGTCACCAACTTTCACGTTCATCCAGGGCACTTCGTTCCAGTCACCATTTTTTAAAACTATAAGGTTATTTTGGAAACTAAGTAAATAAAGAACTCATTACCCAAGGTCTTGGTCCTGTTTGTTGTCTTATCAGCTGAATGTCTTTTCTAATCAACAGTAAAATATGTGGGTGGCAAAACTTACGAAGTCTTCTATCATCTCCTTTACAGCTGACACAAAGAGAATGATTGTTAGTGGAACAACAGTGGTAAAGCGACCGGTCGGAGAAACTCCGGGAATTTGCTAAGAGTTCGAAAGACATCACAAAGGTCACTTACTTGCAGAAGAGCAACAAGCAGGAAAAAAAGATTGGCATATTTGCGAAATTGTTCAAATAAAAATTTCGGAATGAACGTAAAAAAATTGTACTTTCCCGTTCTACAAGTTATAGTAAGTATTGAGTTGGCTTACGATATCTCGTTAGAACAAAATTTTTCGCGTTGGATTTGATTGATCAGTACATTCCGCTGACCCACATCGTTTTCATTATTCAGATTGATGTGCATATAATCTAAGAAAACGGAACAATGAGAAGAAAAATGGGCGCACCATCAGTCTGATCTGTACCCATTCCGATTTCTTTGCCTCTGCCAACGCTTCAAAGTTCAGGGGAGAAAAATCGAACTAAAGACATAAAGAAATATGCACGAGTCAGATGAATATTTTTACCACCGTTAAGAATTATTATTATTCCTCGCCGGGTTGTTTGTTAAGAGGTAGGCTTGGGATGGATAAAATGTCGACCTAACAAAGAAATTCCAATACAAAACACCAGTATCATGAACAAATATTTTCTAAATAGTTGCCAGTGAACATATTAGTACATACAAATGAATTAGTAATATAAAAAGTAGACCGACAAAGTATATGAAAATTTTAAGGCTCTGGTACTTATCAAGTAACGTTCCAAGCATGCAAGTTTATATAGTTCAGAACCACAGCGAATTTCTGCTAATAGGTACAGCAAAATCAACTAAAATGAGTAACATATAAGATTTGTGAGAACTAATGCTTAGTGATAATGTATATGAAATATTTTATCGTACAAAAGATAAGAGATGTGATACATTAAATTCGCAATCAGTAAGGTGAAAATTACTAAATAATTAAGACATTAGTAAGTTTTCTAGACAGCTAGTTCAAAACTTTAAGCTTCAGGAAAGGCACTCAATGTACGGATGAAATAGAAGTGGTGCGAGACCTATATAAAACTGTTTTACAAAATAGTTGTAGGAATTTTGAAATTAATGGCACATATCAATTTTAAAAAATCAGTATGCTCCGACTCCTCCTCCTCCTCGCCGCCGGGATTGAGGCCCACCCGGCGGG